TATATATAATAACAATTTATTCATTTCTTTCAACTTACAAAAAAAAAATGTTCTAAATTAAATTTTTAACAAAATTAATAATATAATAAAAAATAAGCAAAATATATTGATCATTCACGCCCGTCCATGTATCAATGGTGTGTCATGTTTAGCTCTATTAACTTAATCTCAACTTTAATCTTCGCTGTGATGTAATCAATGTATGAGAAAAATCAACATTGAAATATTTTGTTTCAGACAAACCAGAACCTCCTGTGATAAAAACCTACTATGCGACCTCAAGAACAATAAAAATTACTTGGGACCCACAAACTTCTCCTCATTCACCCATTTCCGGTAAGTAGTAAACAATAAAGTATTTGCACATTAAAGTAAAAGTTAAGATTTTTATCAATAATGCGATTGATAATGCGATAAATTTATAATGTGATTTTTATCAATGTTATAACAAAATAGAACGTACTATAATATGCAAACTTCATAAAATATGTTATTCTTCCTTTTAATTTTGCAGCTGTATTTTTCTTTAATTTTGAAGAGCCTTATAGACACATAGTAAATAAATGTAAAAGAAATGCAAATTAAAGTTAGATGGCAATTTGGAAAACATTAAATGGTTTTCATTTCAACGAAGATAATTTTAATTTTCGTTTTTTATTTAGTTTCAAAGTTAAAAGTTAAATAGTTTGAAAATATAGATCATATATGAATAATATTGTAATATCTAAAGTAACAGGTGTACCAAAAGTAACAGAAATCTTGAATAAAATTATAAAAGAAAAAATGAAAAGACAGATTTTTACGCTCTGCTTATAAACCAATCTTTCATCCTACGAGTATCAAAATCAGTTACAAGCTGTAAATTCTCTCTGGCTAAAAATTTAAGCTCAAAATTAAAAGACATCCATGCAAATATTTAAAATGGAGTAGTTTGACCTGCAAAAGTAAATATTGTTTTATAGTTTTAAATTTTCAGTGCCCTCTGTTGACAAACTTTGTAACTATATTTTGACATTGTAGCTACGTTCGCCTGCCGCGAAATGCAGTAATATTGATTGTAGTAATACTATTGTAGAGACATTAAAAATGAACAATATATTTTTCCAAAAACACAATTCAAATTTTTAGAGAGATAAATAGTACCTTATTAATCAACATTATCTCAATCGAAATCCTACACCTGATATTTTTCATTAATCATCACGTAACTAATGGTGGTCTCCTAAGTCAACTTATTTTGTGGAGTTGCAGAATGAAAATGGAATTGACAAAAGTAATTTTTGTAATATTTTTTTGACGCTTATGATTATAATTCTGATTAACTGTGTTGCACAATCATCATGATGTAGTTGTTTGGGGATTTTATTCTTTGTTATATTTTTTCATTTTATCAAATACATTAGAACATTAGCATTGTAGAACTGTTTTACTCTTAACCCTAAATAGAATTAACTCTCTCTGAGAAACTAGATGTCTTTTTTATTTATTAGTAATAAATCAACTAATAGTAATGTTTCCTGCTTTGATAAAAAAAAAGCTTAATATAACTTCTTTATCGAATTGCGCGTGTATGTTTTTAAAATTCTAAATATGTAAACAAATCTTTTATCTAGTTTTTTGTCTAGCTAAGTACCGCTTAACCCTAAATAGAATTAGCTTTTTTGGAAAAATTCAATTTATTTATAATTTATTAGTAATAAATAAAATATTTTTAGTTCCTGCTTTTAAAAAAGATTTGGACAATTCTATTATATAAATGTCTTTAGATGTGTTTTTAGACATGTCTTTTTATTTATTAGTAATAAATAAACTAATAGCAATGTTTCCAGCTTTAATAAAAAAAGCTTAATATATTTTTTTTTTTATAAAATTGAGCGTGTATGTATGCTTTTAAAATTTTAAATTTGTAAATAAATGTATATTTGACGATATTCTAGTTTTTCGTTGATCTGAGTAACTCTTTACCCTACATAAAATTAAGCTTCTCCGAGAAACTGAACTAATCAATTTTTTGTTCGTAATAAACAAACTATAGGTTATTTTTTCCTGCTTTTGAAAAGAAAATTAAGATAATTTTATTATAACATTTTCAAGTATGCTTTTAAAATTCTAAGTATGTAAATAAATGTTTATTTGATGACAATCCCGTTTTTAATACCATAAAGTAATTAATTTTCTCTAAGAATAAATCATGAATTTCTAATGTAAATACAAGTGATTGCATAGGGGAAAAAATAACTTCAGTTTTCAAAAATTTGCACTATAAGTTCTGAAACGCTTGTAGACTGTTTGAGTTTCTCTTATATGCATATTTAAACTAAACTTTGATTTAAATTGCTCAAAATCTCTATTATATCTGTACAAATAATATCGATTTAATATCCACAATTTTGATAAATTATTTTTACTATTCTATAGGGTATTCGATATTCAAAGTTTCATTAATAATATTTTTATACGTAACTGAGCAATTTTACGAAACATTATTAACATTTAACATTTATTAAAATAACAAATATAACATAACAACATTTTGATAATTTATGCAATATCGCGAAGCATTAAACTTACTATATGCAAAATGCAAAATACAACATTAAATTAATTTCCTGAAATAGTCGAGTTCTTTTTTCACATGAATTAAATATTTACTATTTATGTTAAATGCAATGTTCTCAATGTCTTTTTACTCTATAATTCAAATGTTTCAGTGTTTTTCTTAATTCAACTTCTTCTGACATGAATAATTTATTATTTACTTGCAAAATTATAATGAAATTATGAAAGTGGGAAAGCAATCTTAGTAAAAAACTATTTTAACCTATTTCATTTTTATTAAAATAAAATCATAATCTCTGCTAAGATATATTTTTAACAAGAGGTAAATCTACTATACTCTTCATTCTTTTAAATAAGGATTAAAAATAATGAAGGAATTCTTTTATAAAATTCTAATTTTATAATATTAATTTCTAATGCCTAGAAACAATATGCTTTGTAATGTATTGAATTTTCAAAACTCTTATATTTTTATTTAAAATAATTATTTATTTCAAATAATAATCATATTTTAATATATAATAATCATATTATGATTATAATAATATTTTTATGTATAATAATCGCAATTTCTGCATACATTGATTTATAAATAATTCATTTAAATATTTAGTTATTTAAATCTTTCCCAGGAAACGAAAAATTAATTTTTCCTTTAATTTTTATCACATGAAGATGCTATTCCATTAATTTTCAAAACAGAAATTTTTTATTGATAATTTGTTAAATTTTTATCTAAATTAAATTTTTATGTATTGATATTTGTTAAATCTTTTCACTTTCAAAATCTAATTAAGTTTAATCAGTAATTTTCAGTTTTGTGAAACAAACTCTTATTTTAAATACCGTTTCTACATTGTAAAAAATTCAGGATAAAATTACTGTGCTATGTTCCGGAACTCAAGGTGCCAGTGCTCTTTCCAGAACATACTGCGGACCAAAAAATCTGATATACCCTAATTTTTACAGTAATAATTGCTGTAAAATCACTGAATCACTCTAAATAAATAATTATTACTGTAAAAATTACGGTATAATATTTTACTGTAAAATGGATTTTATGAACGATGTACTTAAAGTGCTCATACTTAATACCGCAATCTGATCCGGAAATTTTCAATACAAATGCACAGTATATTTAATGAATGCTACAATTTATTTAATGAATACCATTTTGTAGTTTTTTTAATGACTATTACTTGTACATTATTATTTTTAATGAATTATATTTGCAAAATAAAATCAAAACCCCATCATAGGTGAATTTTTTTTTTGATTATTTATGTATTCATTTATGTTTCACCGACTAATTTAAAATGAAATTAAAGAATTTCCAAAGAAAATAAATCTTTCTTTCACTGGAAGACATCATAGCTTCTTCGTCTAACTTCAACACGGAAGCCCTCGATACGTGACGTCACATTTTTCACGCTATGGCTTTGTATAAAGATGGTGTTACCTTAATACGAAGGTATAACAGTTTAATAAATACCTTGATGCTCAAAGCATATATCACATCTTCACCACCTTATCAGAGAGCAAAAAAATATACATTTCAGTTGGTTCATACATTTCTATAAGAAAGAATAAAATCTTCTATGACGTGATTGCGTGAATGGGTGTTTTATTGCTAAATGGAGTGTGAAGTTTCTTCTTCGTTTTCTTTAAAGGTTATATTCTTCACCACCGAATGGACGGCAAAGACTGGAATGAAGTTCATTTAACTGGAGAAAGAACTTCTTATACCTTACACGAGTTACAATGTGGAACATCTTATTCTTTTTATTTGGTCGCTTTCAACAGCGCCGGTCACGGAAACGACAGCGAGATATTGTCTGCCAAAACAGATGGAATTGGTAAGTGTCCAGCCTTTCTACCCCCTCCTTACGTGACTGTGAGTATACTTGACTCCTACGTGTAAGTATTTCATGCCTCAAAAATATTAGTAATAGTAACAGCGCCGATCGACATATTTCTTTCAGTTATGAGTTGCTAGAGTCGAATATACGCTAAACTTCGGCCGTTTTTTGAAGGCTCTGTCGCCAAATGAAAAAAAAAACGCTTTTTTGTAAATAATTTGCTACTTTACAACTGCTATGAGTTTGTGGTTTGACTGCTAGATCGAGTTCAGCCTTGTGTTAGCCAGTGTCCTCTATCCTGATTTGGAAAATGGTGCAAAATGTTAATATAAAGAAATTCCACAATTCTTTGAAAAGTTAAAGCGTCTGAAATTTCAAGTTTTTAATATTTAAAATATTACTTCAACGTTGCCTTATTTGGGCTCTAAAATTTTTTTTAAAAAAAATGGATACGTACAAGTGACGTCATTGATTGTAAATTATAACATTTGTCGATTCAGAAGACAATCAGGTTCAACACACGTCACTCACAAGTATCCGTTGAAATCTGATTTAAATCACATGGTTAGGCGTAATTTTATAATCGTCGTGGAACAACCGAACCAAATTTGAGTTTACGGCCACCAATGCAATACCACCTTGCAATTTAAAACCTAATCCAGAAGACAAGGGAACTCCTGAATCAGTACCCTCAGAGGTATTTATTTGTTATGCGAACTTGGAGGACTTTGTGAGGCCGACAGATGTAACGGGCACTAGTCACCATTTAATACGCGGGGATTAAATGGTGACTATCCCACCATTTAATCCCCGTGTATTAAAGGGTGACCGGCTATCACTTTACTTCTTCTCGAGTTTTAAGTACCCGATTGAGAATGATTGATTTATTTTGATTAATTTATGTAGGTGGTAAAACTCGCCAAATTGGCAACTTTTAGTAACAAAAGTTAGTAACTTTTCAACTTAAATAAGTTATCTGTAGGTCCTAAAGCCCTGTAATTCTTTTACATGAAGATGATATCTATAGTTTAAAAAATTGCAAGCAAATCTAAAATACTCGATGAGTTTAGAAATGAATAACCTAAGAATTAGAAAATTAAAATAATTTCTCTCCCCAGTATTAGCAGCTCATCTTTAATGTTCATATGTTAAGTTTTCATCTTCTTTAACTAAGTTTCAGTTAATTAATTTTAAATACTTTCCTTCAGTAGTGCAGTTATTCTATTATGTGTTTAACATGCTTGCCTTTAAGGACTTCCAAACCTGCAAAGTACAAAATTTGAATACAAAATATCTTACTTACTACTTCCTGGCAAACAAATTTTTGAATCTCTCCATGAGGCTGCAGATCAATATAAAGGTTCTACTTCTGGATTTAAAAATATTCTGCAGATCTTTAAATTCATAATTTTTAGCGTGACATGTTTTTAAAAATGAAGAATAAAACACAATATTTAAAACTGAAAACAACTTAATGTTAACAATACACAATATTGATATAAGTAAATGATGTACAGAAATGAAATTATGCAGCAAGAAATGATTATTTTGCTTCTTAAAACATAGCTATTTTTTTAATTATAATTATTTGAAAATTAATTCAAAAAAGGAGTAGAAAATACATAAAAGCCTAAGTACCTTTTTTCCTTTTTTTTACTTCCTAGAACATAGCTGCTTTTTTGTTTTCCAATTATTATTATTGGAAAATAGTTTAAATTGGAAAATTGACTGAATAGGAAAATTGTTTATCAATTCAGTGTTTAAATATTTTGACTAAACTTCTAGTGCTGATTACTATTATTTATTTCTAATATAATGAAGTATTTTAAAATTTAAAGAGCTTTTCTAAGCTTGTTATTTCTATTATTTTTCTCTTCTTTACAAAAACATAAAACGTAACTAAAGAGTTGATTCACATAATTCATTTTAAAGCATTTCAACTAGCTTAAATAAATAATATATTAAGTACACAGAGCTGTATTATAAATTGCTTAAACAATTTTTAAAGACATGTAGAAATAAACCATTTACTAGTTTAGCTATCAAAGAAAAAAATTGCTTTCTATTCTAACTAGTAAACTAGTAAAGAGAGAGTAAACATTAAAAAAAACTCTAAACATGAAATCGTCCTTTCTAAACTATTATTCGAGGAAAAAGATTAAATTTCTTATTCTATTTCTTGAATGCTTCCAAATTATGTTTATCGAACGATATACAAGATCGTTATTAATCTCTCCGTAGCAGACGATAAATTTCTCTTAAAATAATTTATCGAAAACCTTTTCCAGCATTCTTTGAAAAAACCCCATTCCTACTGAAACTTTATATCGTGGAGTATTCGATTTCCAGTAGTTTCTGTTTTCATTTCAGACGATTTCTTACATGGTTGATTTATTAAATCCAAATAATCCGTCTCATTTATTGTTGGAAGAAATAATTCCAAATGTTTGAATTCTAAAATGCATTTTCATACAAAATTTCTCAGTATTTTTATGAAGAAAATTGCACCTAATTGCTTATTTATATTAATGCCGAATTTAATGAGACGAAACGTTTTAACTAATTAAATGCACATCAATATAAGTTGCACTGTTAATGTTACAATATCACATTGTTTACCTAATAATGTAAGTTATGTTTTATAGAAATTGCTAATAAATATTGTAAGGAAATAAAAAAAGAGCAGTTTAATAACTTCGCGTCTAATCATGGGATATTCACGTATTAGGACTCTATCTTAATGGCTCCATGCAAAACCTTAAATATGTTAATCAATTGGTGCAGACGGCTTTTTAAGTTACAAATGAGCGTTGATAAACTTACATTTTTTTGGCAGATTTGGATTTGAATAGTGAGGTGTGACTATAATCCAAATATTATAATCTCATAAATATAAGAAAGAAAGCTGTCGGAAAATTGGAACACTTGATATTAATTTCCATTTTTGAGTATTTCTAGTATTTTCAGTGAGATGCTTCATTAATTACGGAAATTTTCTTTCGAAAGAATTATCTCACCAATTTCTCCAAGCCTTAGATAATTTTTCAATTAAACTTGTGTTCATTAAATTGGCACAAAAAAGTTTTGGCCTTACTATTAAAATTTTTTCATAATCAGATAAATCAAGTACTAGAAAATATTAAACCGGTAATAAAAATTAATTTACATGGAATTATGTTTAGATAATCAAGTTTAAAAGCTGTGTACAAAAGATTTTTGACAGCTTAACTAATTACGGATATGTGGAAAAAAACGCAAAAAGGTGAAATAATATTTAGGAGTTCAAGCTAAAGAGTCCATGGTTCCCTTACCTAAAACATTTCAACCATGTTTTTCAGATAGCATATCTGACCTCATATCTTGACTTGAAATTTGTCGGGAAAAAAAGCACTTTCATTCAGAGAAAGTACTCTTTTGTATCTGATTTCGTGTTTTAATTAAAACTTGCCCTCCAAAAATCAATTAAATTAATGCTAAGTCTTCGCTTCAAACCACTAAGATTAAATCCTAGTAACTCAGGGTCCCAATATTCTTTACCGTTATCTCTATTTTAATCGGAACATGTTACATAACAAAAAACATAATGTATCGCAATTTTTACAGTAATAATTACTGTAAAATCACTTCATCACTCTAAATAAATAAATATTACAATAATTTTTACAGTAGTAATTACCTTAAAATTACTGAATTACCGTAAACTTACTGTGAAATTTCGTTTTAAAATTTATGAGAGAAAAAGAATTTTACAGCACCCAAAGTGCCAATAATTTTGTTGCAAAATTTTTCACGGAGTGAGCGGAAATCTGATCATTAGATGGAAAGTTAGAAAGATATTTTATTTTATTCATTTTCTCTCGCACTTTGCTTGGAAATATAAGAGGATTAATTTTACTTTGCATAAAAAACAAAGTCCCAATGACAATGTAAAAAATTACAAATGCTAACATTTGCACTTTTTATTTTGTTTCAACTTTATTTATACAAACGTTATATTGTTTATAAATGCACTTATAAACAACAGTCATTAACTAGTAGTTCACTAGTTTAACTTTCAAAAAGAAACAATCAATCCAAACATTGTATCTTACTTCTAAACAATCACTCGAAGGAAAATATAAAATTCCTTATTCTATTCATAGAATGCTTTAAAATTATGTTTATCGCACGAATATACAGAATCTTTATAAATATCTTCATAACAGACGATAAATTCCTCTTAAAATAATTTATCGGAAACCTTTTCTAGCATTCTTTGGGATAACCTCATTTGTTCCAAATACTTTATACCTAGAATTCTATCTTCAATTGTTTCCAATTCATTTCTGTCGATTTCATACATGGTTGATTTATTAAAATCAAATATTCCGTCCCATTTATAGACGGGAGAAATTAATTTCTACTCGCAATTTTCTCTCAAAATTGCATGTTCAAGGATAATTGCTTAATATTTTGTTTAAAAAAACTGCAAATATTTCTATTTGATTGCAATGTTTAAATCATCGGGGAAGAAGCAATGCAAATTATTTAATAAGTAACAATGTCAGTAACAATGTTTACAGCAATTTGAGCATCCCTTGGAAGTAATTAGGTAAAAATGTACAAGTGTCATTATTTATTCCTTTCATATTGTCTCTCCTTTATTAATAAATATTTTGTTGTTTATGAATAATTTCTAGGTAGTTAACAACTATTTTTAACTAGTTTAACTAACAAAAAAGCAATATTTGATTGAAGTAAAAAGTAACGCAATTAAACTAAAGTGTAGTCGGATTTTTTTAATTACAATCCTAAATGAATTGAACTAGTTTTGTAGTCAAATTAGCTAATCCAATAAATACAAGACTTGAGCACATAGTCAAAGCTCTTGATTCCACTCTGTTAATAAAAATAGTTTTTTTTGCTCAATTTTCTCATAGGTGTTTGAAATATTATTTTCTAATTTCCCTTTTGTTTCCCTTTTTGATGGGGGAACAAATAATTTTAATTATTTAAGATCATCTAACTGTCTAAAATCAGTTTTTCTGCCATCAAAATTAAATAATTTTGGGCAGAAGTCGGCTCGAATTCAAACAAAAGTCTATGAGGCTTGGAAATTACTTAATGTATATATTGTGCTTGATATTCCCTATTTAATATCTTATCATTTTTATATTACTTACATGTTTAGATTTAATGGATTAAAATATCTTATCTTTATTATAAATCACATTAAATTTATTAATTTACTTGCTGACTACCCGTTTTACGTGCCTGGTGGAGCAATATAAACAATCAATATGTCAATACTGAACTAAACATTAAAATCCTGCGTAAAACTGAAAGACATAAACCAACACAATTAATAAAGCAGAAATAATTCCAATTTTTAAATTTATTAATATTTTTCCTTTCCAAATGCTTCATGTTGTTCGATTAAGCGAAACATGTTTTCAGAAGTTCATCCCATCAAAATCCCGATTAACTATATTCAAAATTATTTAGCATGAAGTTGTTGCTTAAGGTTAACTTATGGTGGTCAAAATTGACAGCAATCATGCAAATTTATATATAGCATATTTTTTTATTTCAATTAGTACTGTTTACTAAAACTAACTATGCATCTTTGGTGTCCATAATAGTTTGATTTTTTCACGTTTCTCTTAAGCGAATTAGTATCATAATTTTTCTTTTTAGTACACAACTTTTTTTAATTCAATTTGTACATATTAGCAAAATTGATTAAACCTCATTAGAGTCAATAACAGTATAGCGATTTCACACAGTTTCCCTAAAAGAGTAGATATATTTGTTCATTTATTTTGCTTCCTAGAACATAACTATTATTTTTTTGATTAAATTATTACCTAATAGCATATTTAATCAATTAACAGTGACGTCAATACGAATGATGATTTTTTACGTTTATTCTATACAAATTAATGCTAATTCTTCATTAATTTTGCTTTTCAATACATAGCTTATTATTTTATCTTTCAATTACTGTTGATTTTAAATTATTTGTAGTTTTATAAATATGCATTAAAATAATCATTTATAATAAAATATATATTTAATATAAATTAAAATAAACATTTTATAATTAAAATATGCATTTTATAAATATGCATTTCATGCATTCAAAGCATCACTATGAACGAAATAAACCTGTGGTTTCAATTAACATTAAAAATACTAATTTTGTGCCGTAATCAGCCAATTCTGTCATGTTCACACTGATAAAGCATAACGAATAAAAAAAAAATTGCAAATTAAGGAACGTGCAAAAAACTATTTTTTTCGATGAGAGTTATAAACTAGCAAACATCACTGACGTAATCTTCAAAATATTTGAAAGAAAGAAAATCGTCTGCAGTCTCATTTTTATCAATGGCACCTAGTAAGATAATGAAAAAATTATGTCTTTCATAAGTGTCTATTGAGCGAACTAAATTTGAAAATTTCAGTTTCTTGAGTTATAAGACAAATACACACAAGGAAACAAAATTTTCACTTCATTATTATCGATGCAAACAAATTCGGAAACTATTAATTCAGTGCGAATTTCGAATTGTTTTTATTTCTTTTAAAATTAATAGCTAATATTATCCAATTTTGCTAATTTCATTTTCACGACAATCAACATAGCCCTAACAGTCGATTTCTGGCTGAGTTCCAAAAAAACATTTTCGCTACGCTAATCCTTAAAAAAAAGCTAAGCAATTAGTAACCTTATCTATAGGTATAGTTCTCCCAATTGTTATTCTCTAAACCTCTCTCTATCTTCTCTAAATTACCTTTTCTATTAGAAAACGCTTCTTTTTTCATAAGCATATCCCTTACATTTTTAATTCTAAAATTTAGATAAGAAAATAACTATATCTGATTTTATGAAGATAATACTCAAGCTTTAACTTGGCAGTGTAACATTAAAACTTATCATAAAGTAAACTGAATCATAAAAAGAATATTATGATGAAGAAGATAACTCAGGAATGTGGAAGATACGGTGAACTATGAGGCATCAAATGTTTAGCATGGTTTTATTAGATATGTTCTTTTTAATTTGCATAGATTCTTATCTTGAACATATTAAAATTGTTTTAGTGACTTAATTAGTACTTATTGCTTAAACCAACAGAAAACTCCATAAAATAGTAAATACCTTAAATAGCAATAAAGGTCTCTGCTCTTGCTCACTTTTTCAATATTTTTTTTTATTTCTTGATGGTAAATAAATTTTTACATAAAAATTAATAATTATCCAATCTAAAGATCCCAAGATTTTTATTATAATAACATATCTATGGCTCCACAGATTTAGTTTATGATTCTTTTAGAACAAAATTTAAACATAATGATACTTTTCAGTTTCTACAGAAGTTTAACTTTCAACCTTTTTCTTTAATTTTTTTAACTATAAAAACTAGTTAAATGTTTTTTGTTTGCCGAAATGGTTGTTCAACTGAATTGTAAAAAGTAAACTAATCCTAATGTTTATTTCCAATTCTAAATAGTTATTTTGTATTCATTATTTTCATTGCATATTCTAGCTTGAGAGGTAATACATAAAATTTATTACGAAAAGAAATACAACTTACTAATCGTTCCATAAATGTAAAACGTTAACTACATATCTTTAGTACAACAAAGTAATATCAAACGATTACGAAATAATGAGTCAAATAAGAACAGTTTAAGCCGTAAGACTGATTATGATTAGTTATTAAGATTGTTCTGTCCAATAAGAGTTGTATTTTTGAGATAATTTTAAAAAATAAACGAAAATAAAAAGAAATATTTAGTTTTATAATGTAAATAACGCTCCTCTGGTCTTGGATTTAGGTATGACAAAAATAAATTATTGTCGCCTTAAGAGTCCACTTGAAAATATTGTATTATTTGTTAAAGATATTAAGGCAAATTAACAGTCTTTAATATATTTAGGGAAGTATATTTCTCTCCAATGTCTATTGGAAGCTAAATTGGAGGCTATTTTAAGACATATTTATCTATCTATCTGCTGTAAACTTCAGAAAAAAACTTTAACAAAATATAAACTAATACTGGGGACAATTTCCTTTTGCATGTTTTGTTTTTTTTTATTTTATCCTTTCTCATTTAGTTTATTTGCATACATATCGGTTATTACTAATTCTGTTATTAATAAGCACAGAAATACAATTCTTTGACCCAATCCTTACGGTACGTAATATAATCTGAAAATCAAGTTATTTTTACATAGACAGAGAAAACAATACTGATAAAACTACCGTACTGTAAGGTAATGACATTTCTGGTAAAATAAACCATAATTCTTGCTAATAAAATCAAAATATGTGATATTTAAACCATTTATTAGGTAATTTTTCTGTTCATATGGTAACTTTTCTATCAGAAATTCTGTTTGTCAAAATTATTGTTCTTATTTCATCCACATTTAGTAAAAATTTCAAAACTGAGAAGGAAATTTAATCGAATAAATTGTTTTTATTCCATGCTCTAAGATATCGTGCTAAATTATCCAATTTGTTCCACATTATAAAACCATATTTTATTGTTAATTTTACCCAAATCGTTGCCAAAGCCTTTCAGCAAAAATTACAGAGCTTTTTGATGATCTCATAGAGCTAGAAACATGATGAATGTTACCATATTCTGGTAGTTTTGATCATCCTTTTTTTTTAATGTAATAAACTAAATAAATTCTGTTTTTAAATCAATCACACTTGCAAAAATATTTTAACATTATATTACTTGAAAAAATTGATCTTTAATGAGTTGAAGAAACTGAATCAGTTTAAAAAATGAGAAAATTTCCTTTCTTCCCAGCTCCGGTAACACCAGAAAAAGAACGACTTCTTACTGTGAATTCTACGAGCGTGTGCATCAACTTAAACAGTTGGCACAATGGTGGATGTCCCATAACTTTCTTCGTCATACAGTATCGAGCCAACAGCCAACCAGAATGGACATTGGTCAGCAATAATATTATACCGGAGCAACAAAATATAACTATAACTGACCTTAGTCCTGGAACTTGGTATACTTTGTTTATGACAGCTCGCAATGACGCGGGCACGACAGATTCAGAGTATTTATTTGCAACGTTGACTTTGTCTGGTGGTAAGTACTAATTATTATTGTACATTAATTATCCTCATTATAAATATTATTATAATAATAGTATGATAATTTTCGTAATCGTGGTTTCATACTGCATCTATAAGTTATAGAAATGTTTATTATGTTTTAGATTGAAACTATAAATAAAAGGCATTTTAATAGCTCTTATTTTACATTTGTGTAAGGTAGTAAATATAGCAAATGTATTTCCCGTTAACTTATTTTACATTGTTTTTTTTACCTCAACTGTAGTTTAAACATAGCAACATATGTAATCAACTGATTTAAAAGCATTATTTGCTACAATGGAGCTACATTTGAAAAAATTCGACCGAAAAGTTTCAAAATTCTATTAATAATTCTATTAATAATTCACCATACCAAAAAACAAGCCTATAAGCAAAATTATACAAAAAAATTATTTTTGGAGATTTAGAAAACTTTTCCTTTTATATAAATAAAAAAAGACACTCAGCATGAAATTAAATAAAAATTTGCTATTTTCAACCAAAACAACCAAAAAAACATAAAAAATATGATATCCAAACTGTTAACTGCGAGAAAAAGCGTTTGCTGACTGTTTACACCTAATACTGTTAAAGGACCAGAATTTTATCCCCACCAACTGGGCCTACCTTATGAATTCACCTAGGAATTATGAAGCTTCTTAGTTCCTTAAAAATTGAATTCGTACTGCAGCTGAAAGGGCTGATCCATCAATGATATGGCCGGCTAAACGGGGGTTCGAATCTTAACATTTACGCTACATTCTTTCTTTTATTCCTTCAACACATGAAGACATGACAACTCTCCAATAGACAGCACTGGGCTGTTAGAATGCGAAACTCGGCTTCACGCATAACTGGCAACACCTCAAAGTTTCTTGAAACAAAACAAAGATTTAGTCCATCTCTCATGAAAGATATTACAACCTAGATACCTAATTAAGCCATATTCCAGATTCATTTGACAGAACGTATTTCAACTGCAACTCCAATGTCCGTTACAAAACGAAAAACCTTACCATAACCTAACTCCAATGTCTAGTTAAATATCATTTTTACGGTTTTAAAATCTTGCTAGCTGTGAACAGTAACAAAACTGAATCATTTTGTATTCACGATTGTTTAACTCCATAAGTTAAAAACAGTTTCAAAACCTTAAAGTTAAAGAAGTGATATTAACCGTAAACTTTATGGTTAATTTGAATGGACAGATTGCTTCCGGTTACTTTACTGTAATTTCACAATAAAATTTTGCAGCAGTGTAAGAATTATAGAAACTTAAATTCCATTTACGTTTTTTACAAACCTTTTAAAAAATAGGTTTCAAACAGACGGTTTTTAACACATGATTATAAAGACGGTAAATCAGCGTGGCAATCTTATTTATTGAAAAAAAATGTCAAATCAAAAAGACGATGTATTAAAACAAATTAAAGACTGTGTGGCGTATATATTTTTTATTACATAGAGATATTTTTATTTCCCAAGAATTTAAACCTAAATGTAAGTAAAATTACTGGTATTATTTTAGAGATACATTCAACTTGTTTTTTTTTTAAATATTTTTTTTAATAATTTTGCTTTCGTAATCATGATACTCGATGTAAAGTAGAAATGTCTGATCCTCGTACTCCTAGAAACTAATTTAATTACTTTTACTCCAATTATTGAATTACTCAAGTTATTTTATTGAAAATTATTTCTCTTAGAGCATCCACCCCGTCCTTCTGAAATAAGCGATATGAACAGCACATTTTATCGCCACTTGACAATCACAGTTCCCGTTGTAAGCTCAGCGATTGTGCTCATCGTCATCATGTGCGCAGTCTGTTTTGTTACAAGAAGAAGGTTACCAGACAGAAATCCCAGAACATCGGACGGTAAGATGATTATTCATTTACAAAAATATCGAAGTCTCTTTCTTAATTTGAGTTTAATAAATTCATTGATGAGAATATTTAAGACCTAAATATAAAATTACAAAAAAAAACAATGGAAGTACATTTTTTCTTTTTCTTTTTTTCGTACGCAAAATGGCATACGTGCCAAAGTGAACAAATTGAAGAACACTTAAAAGCGCACCCCCGGTAGTTACTAAAGAAAAGAATCGGCAAAAAGCTGGTTTAATGTGCCGCACGAGAAGAAATGAATATTGCAATCTGCCAGACAGAGTTAATGCAAGCGGTGGCTGGTGAGCGGTTGCACAGTGAAGAGAGGACCATTTGCAAAAACAGTAAAATCAAAAAACGCTGTCAGTATCAGAATTTCAAGAGTTTTTATTTTATTTCTTTTACTTTCTTTAAAAAAATTATCGTTTTGGACTATCAGGTAAGTAGGAAATTTATTTACGCTGCACTAGAGATGCACAATGGGCTATTGGCGATGGCTTGGGAAACATTCCTGAGAATGATCCATCACTATTTCAACCCTCAACAGAGGGAAGGGCTTACCCTCGTTGGTAGTCCGATGACCTGAAGTGGAGCACTTTACGGTAGAACAGTTTAAAGAGGCCCGATATCGCGCACCCTCGGTCCTACGCAGGCTCATCAAAGTGGCCACTCACCATCTAACTAGCCACAACCAGTGATGCTTGACTATGGTATTCGAGTGGGAACAGTGTATTTATGATTAGTTCTCTGCTAGACTTTAACGTTCAGATATTTCCCTTCTTAATCTTCATTTTTTATCATTTTATAAATACTTAAGTGTAAGCAAACTAAGAATTAGATGTTTAAAAGCTGACATATAATACTTTATTTTTACAGGCGTCGATAGTAATGACCTTGTGAAACCAGAAAATGTACCATTAGCTGTGACGTATGATAGTCACCAAGAACCAACGTATTACCCGGCTCCTTATGCAAGCCATCGGGTACCGAGCTACAGTGAGCACTGCGTACAAAACACTAATGTGAGCCACAAAAATACAGGAACTTTTGGGAATTCCAGAACAGGGTATACGTATGATATACCTTATCCCCCAAGAAATGTAAGTTTGTTCATTCTATGCATTCCTAATGAGAAAAAAAATTAAATATATTAAGCATTTTCAGCTAAGCCAATTAATTAAAAAGTGATTTAAAAGTTTGCAACTGATTATAAAAGAGTTTTGTATATTTGATAACTAAACTTTAAAAAAGCCTTTGAAAAATTAAATTCATATCTAGAGTTGATACCTTGATTTTATCCGATTTTATTTTGAGTTGTTTGCAAAGGGCTTCATTCTAAACACATATTGTCGTATTAAAAAACAACGTACAAAAACACAAGTCATTTTATGATTAACTATTTTTAAAAAGTCTGCTACCACGCTTAGCGATTATTTGAATAAATTAATCACAAAAAAAACTTTAGTAAGTAGTCAAAGAAATATCCAATTAGTCTTAATAAATCTGGAGAAATGTCTATAGATCTTGAGAAAACAAGATTTTAACTAACCATAAACGGTTCTTAATGGTTTAAAGGTTATTTTGTATGATTGCTCGCAACGTATGATTTCTTAAACAACCATTACTTAACCAGATGTATTTAGTTCAATGCTCCTTTAGTTTGCCACCGTATTTACGAAACCAAATATCATTTTTATGTAAAATAAATATTACCAACCATAATTAGATAGCAAAACAATAAGATTGTTGTCGCGTGTTTTTTACTACTAAATAAACCCAAAAACTATAAAGTTAAATAATATCCTAAAACTATTATTTTGAGATAGTTATTTTACATTATATTTGATATGTGTACCTGAAAGACCTTCTTACATCAACTATTTAAATATACTAATATCATTAAATTCCTCTTCAATTTACCACAAAACTTAAAAACATACGTAAATTAATTTCAAAAAAATTTTTTACATCTGAATAATATCACTGCGTTAGTTTTCCCAGTATTAGTAACTACCACATCTAAAAATCACGGTACCTTAAGGACTATTATATTGGGAGAGCTATTTTTCACAGTTAATTTGAGTAGGTTTTATAACCTGTTCCATAAAAATAACTGTTACCTCTCATCTCAACTATTCAGATGTCCGGAATTCAATGGCACTTCAGTTTGTCGCAACACTTACAAAATTATCAGTAAAAAATGGAAGATTTTTCCCATCTACTAATAAATATCGTATGAAGTAAATACTTTACATCTTCAAATAAATTTAAAAAAACATATGAATAATATCGTTATGTTGGTTTTTTGAGAATGAGTAAAATCTAAAAATATCACTTTCAACAATACTTTGAAGACTATTATATTAGAACAGCTATTTTTCACAGTTAATTTGTACTGATTTCGTGACGTATTCCTAGAAGATAACTGTTACTTCTCTCTGAACTATTTAGATATCCTTTAATTCAATGGCACTTTAGTGTGCCGCAACACTTACACAAACGTCAATAAAAAAGGGAGATTTTTCCATCTGCAAATAAATAACGTATGAATAAAATACTTGTCGCCAAATAAATATACGACTTTTGTGCTTCTTTTCTCATATCCAATATTTCCATTCCCAATATTTTATCTCCGAAGCGAATAATCTATGCTGGGCACATTTTGACAATAATACTGAAGATGCTGTTTGATGTATCGGCAAAGTCGGTGAAACTATATTTCATGTCTTTCAGTCGGAGAAAACCGAAGGAAAATACGAGTCCCCAGCCATTTATTTTCCTGCATATCATCATACAGGTATTTACCCATACTTTTCCTGTAGTTTCGTATTGATATTTTTAGTTGCTTTTAGTTATGCATACAAGTCTTAAATCATCCCCAGTAAATATTTATCCACTATAACTATCTTGGTATTTCTGTGATTTGCTTTCATGTATAAAAAAAATATACATGAATTGAGTTCGGTTTTTATAGGGTAAAAAAAATCACGAAAACGTTTTATGTATTTGTTGTTACATAGTAAAATTTATTTATTAAATGACTAGAATAAGTGTGTTTATAAAATGACAAAAGATGCATGGAATTTATTCGAATCGTACATCATTTTTGTCGTAAAATGTTTGTTTTTTTTTCTTTAAAAAAAGCAGACTTCTGAAAGGTCAGTTTTATTATGAAAAGCACAATCAAGAGCATTGCGTTTTCATTGATAAGCAATATTTTGAGCTTTGTTAAGACATTTCCTGGAACCCTGATCATTTCATTTCTTGTTTTGATTATTAGAATTAGCTACCCACATCAACCAATTTAAACCCGTATTTATTTATTTATTTATTTATTTATTTATTTATTTATTTATTTAATAAATTTATTTAATTTATTAATTTATTTTATTCATTTTATTTACTTATTTATTTTATTCACTTATTTATTTTATTCACTTATTTATTTTCTTTACTTATTTATTTTCTTTACTCATTTATTTTGTTTATTTAATTTATTCAATTCATTTGTTTTTTTTAATTTACTTTATTTATTTAGCTTATTTATTTTATTTATTTTACTTTATTTACTTTATTTATTTAATGTAAAGTTTATATCAACAAACTTAGATCTACCCTCACCTAGAAGAAAGCAACTAAGAGCTGTATCAACAAAATGTAGCCTCATTTATGCAAAACCAAGATAGAAAATTTCGACAAAACAGTCTGACTGTGCTATCAAAACAGAAATTCCTTGCATTGCCTATCTTTTTGTCACTCCAAATATATAATAAACGTATATAAAAAACATGCAATGTAATAAACATGTAATATAATAAACATATAATGTAATAAACATAAACATGTAATATAAATACATTGCGATTCAATGTGAATGAAGTAATTTTTCTTATTATTGTAAATGCTGATTACATTCCTTTTTTTCAAACATAATTCAATCTTAATCTCGTGGCAGATGAGGTAGGAAATTTAGTTCACTGATATTTTAAGGATATCTATGTTCAGTTTACTAAATCAATGTTGTATAGTTAAATTAATCTAAAATAAGAACTTTCTCAGGAAAATTCTTTTTTAAAAAAAATTTCACTTGCGCTATTCTTCCTCTCAGCTGTTTAAATAAAAGATACCTGAGTATTTAAGCTACAATTACCAATCATGGCATGAATAACCATCTGAAANTGTAGTATTTAATTCTACCCTCACCTAGAAGAAAACAACTAAGTGCTGTATCAACAAAATATAGCCTCATTTAAGCAAATCCATCATAGAAAATTTCGCCAAAGCAGTCTGACTGTGCTATCGAAACTAAAATTAGTAGCGTTGCCTATCTTTTTATCACTCTAAATATATAATATAATAAACATATATAAAAGAACATATAATGTAATAAACATGTAATATAATAAACCTATAATGTGATAAACATGTAATATGATAAACATATAATGTAATAAACACGTAATATAATAAACATACAATGTAATAAACATGTAATATGATAAACATATAGTGTAATAAACATATAATATAAATACATTGCGATTCGATGTGACTGAAGTAATTTTTCTTATTATTGTAAATGCTGATTACATTCCTTTTTTTCAAACATAATTCAATCTTAATCTCGTGGCTGATGAGGTAAGAAATTTAGAACCTTCGTTCACTGATATTTTAAGGATATCTATGTTCAGCTAACTAAATCAATGTTGTACAGTTAAATAAAACTGAAATAAGAACTTTCTCATGTAAATCCTTTTTTTAAAAAAATTTCACTTACACTATTCTTCCTCTCAGCTTTTTAAATAAAAGATACCTGAGTATTTAAGCTACAATTACCAATCATGACATGAATAACCATCTGAAAAAATAAAAACGTAACACAAAAAAAATACAAAATCTAGATGATTGGACAGTTCTCAGTTCTGAAAAATATTGACACTGACAGGGACGAAATAAACTTAGTGATAAAATTTTTAGGACTGCAAGAAAGAAAACTTTTACCTTGGAAACTTGTGCTTAGTCATTTGGATACCATTTATTATAGTGTAATTTTGCTACATCCTCCTTTAACAGTATTATTGCTAGATATTTTAAAACAGCGAAACATAACCTATACTTAAAACAATGCTCAAAGATTTAATTACTGTATTATACATTTATCTGTATGCAAACATAGCAAATATCAAAATATAAACATTTAAAATGAAAACTTTAATGTTATCAAATAAATTTTATCTTTCAAAGTATTTTTCTTTTTTTTTTTTGGTTCATAATGTTATATCTGGGAATCCTACTTTTCGAAACAACTAAAATTATTGCAAATAATCTCCTTAAAATCATTTAACGCTATTATGAACAATACTATTGCAAGCTATTTTAAGACAGCAGAACATTATAATCTATATTAAGCAGTACTAAAATATTTAATTTGCTGTGATAATGCATTTTATCTGTGAGCAAAACCAATAAATATAAAAATATAAATTTTTAAAACGAAAATATTAATGTTATCAAATATTGTTTTTCCTTCAAAAGTATTTTTCTTTTTGGCTCATAATGCTATATTTCGAAATCGCACCTTTAAAAACAACTACTATTTTATTGCTTATAATATCGTTAAAATCCTTGGACAATATTACGGGCAATATTATTAAAAGTTATTTCAAAACGGCAGAATAATAAAACCTATTTTAAACATTGCTAAAAGTTATAATTTGCTGTGACAATGCATTTTATTTGTGACTAAAAACAAGAAATAAGAAAATATAAATTTTTAAAACAACAATATTACTGTTATCAGATATTGTTTTTCTTTTAAATTATTTTTTTCTTGGCTCATAAGGCTATATCTTGAAATCCTACCTTTTAAAACAACTAAAATTTTATTGCATATACTCTCTTTAAGAAACTTGAACTTTCAATCTTTTATCAGCTATGAAATTCTTCAAATATTCTCTGCTAATACAATCAGCGTCTTTTTATTCTTTTAGATTCTTACAAAAAAAATTGCACTTGATTTTTTTTCTTTATTTATAAACAGGAAATAAAAGAATGTGTTTCTGAAGTAATAATAAAGAAACGTTAGGGCGTGTGTTTATTTTCAGTTTTTTGATAAGATTAAAAACGTTTTCTTTGAACATGAAATCGATATTTATTTTTCCCCACAGGCGTTGAGGTGATGCAGTCTCGAAGGGAAAGAATTATTTACAGTGTCTCCGAAAAAAGCAGAAGAAAACTCGATAAAAAGAGACCTTGGCGAGAACCTGGAGATGGGTTAGTAGCCATTTTCACGCCACATATTTTTAGCACTATCTTAGTTTTATTGATCATAACTTTGACACTTAAATTTAAAAATAGTGCTTCTTGTTTTCAGCCCCTAATTATTTTTATACGCTCTTTTGATGTCTTCTCTTTTGTTTTTGCACATCTTATCTTTTTTTTTTTATCTATTTTCTGTTTCTTCACTATTGCCATGTTGTCTATATCAACCATTTTCAAGACTTTATTTTCATATCTACTTGAAACTATTGTAGATTATGTAGTATTTAATATTGCGCCAATAAAGTATAGTATAAAGTATATATAAAGTATATTGAAGAATTTACTTTATAATAAGTATAAAGTATATTCTTTAATACTTTTTATTAAAAATTACTACAAAATAAGAATTTAAGTGAAATTTAAAATTAATGAGCTTTTTCACCCAATTCAAAATTCTTGATTGTCCCATCAAAACATTTTGATGGTTTATGTTGGATTATGATGGTCCAAAATCATTTGATTGTCACCATCATCCAACATTTTCCATTATACGTTCATCGTTTTTGATATGCCAACAAACTTTCCATCATTCCATAATGGAAAATGCTACTTTAATACTATGATGGTTAACCATCAAGAGAAATTTGATTGTCATGGACCAACAATCAATGATGGTTCCAACTATACATTTCCATGATGGTTATTTTGATGGTTTATGTAGGTTTCAGTGCGATTTATGATGGTCCAATATCATTTGATTGTCACCATCATCCAACATTTTCCATTATACGTTCATTGTTTTTTATATGTCAGCAAACTTTCCATCATTCCATCATGGAAAATGCTACTTTAATACTATGATGATCAACCATCAAGAGAAGTTTGATTGCCATGGACCAACAATCAATGATGGTTCCAACTATACATTTCCATGATGGTTATTTTGATGGTTTATGTAGATTTCAGTGCGATTTATGATGATCCAACATCATTTGATTGTCACCATCATCCAACATTTTCCATTATGCGTTCATCGTTTTTGATATGCCAACAAACTTTCCCTCTTTCCATAATTGAAAATGCTACTTTAATACTATGATGGTTAACCATCAAGAGAAGTTTGATTGTCATGGACCAACAATCAATGATGGTTCCAACTATACATTTCGATGATGGTTTCTTGTTGGGTTTCAGGAATATACCATCAGAACAATTTTGGTTTTTTTATGTTGGACCATCATAAATCAGTTCGAATTCCCACATGCAAGTATTGGTTACTTATGTTGGTTATCATCAAAAATATAATGGTTAATGATGGAATTATTGATGGTTACCACCAAGATTATTTTGGTCCATCAATAATTTTGACTTGGGTAATAAACACTAAATTGTAACTAAGTATTTATCGCTATTTTACATCTATATTTCCCTAAATTCAAAATATTATCGAAGGCAATGCTTTGCTAATCAACATGTCCTTGGCACATTAGGTCTCGAATTTTTTTGCACGAACCCTTTCGGTTGACAGTCAAAACAACTGCGAATAAATATGGTTTGGTGAATGAACATTGAAAGAGTTTGGATGCAGTAAGTGATTTTGTGATACTGTCTATGTAAGCCTATATATGAGAGTTGCAAATACGTAAAATCCCGGTTCCATAAATGGGATTATGCAAAAAAATGGGTTTGCAAACCCATTGCAACCATGGAAAGAGCCCAAAACCTGCCGGTCCATACAGAAATTTAATTCTTCAGCAAAGTTGCTTTATGAATCATCTTCCCAAAATATAGTTCAATATTTTTTTGCGTGAAGGTGAGTTAGGTCAAATATACAAATGCAGCCGGTGCTTGATATAACGACCCTTAAAGTCAAAATGAAAAGGGGTGCTGTAACGCAAGGTTCGCACAGTAAGTACACAAAACCATAGCATATATTTACCCATAATCCATAAATAATGTTTTTTTTTGGGCAAAAAGCATTGTTATGCTATTGTAGAAACTAGTATAACGATCTTACATTTTCGGGAACCAAAGACAACATGCTCACTATCAGAAGAGAAAAATAAAAGTTTATTTTCCGGAAAACGATACAATCACAAAACTGAGTGACTAACTTAAAATAAATTAAAATACAAAAGTGTATAACACACTGAGCAGTAGAAGTAGATACTTTGTGGTTTCACAGAGTTTTTATATACTGGGAAAAATGCGCGATAACAAAAATGACATCTGTATCTTGCAGTCGGTTACTGCTAATTTCCTAAAGCAGAAAGAAAATCAGGATGTGCTCGATGACAGGTTGCCGGTTCGGTATTACCTTCGATCTAGCGAACTCTACACTATCAACTTCCTTCGTTTTTTAAAATTTCTGTTCTAAGCATATGATATTAAATTGGTTATAAGTAGCTATTTTCGGTAAATAACATACGTGTTGAGACCTGCTGAGTCTAAGCAAAATTAAAATAACGAAGAATGTAAGTACCACGTTTTATCTCCGAGATGGACCAGCATATCATAAAAAAGAAAAAACCTCAGCACGAATCTGTTTAGTAGTCCCACTTAACGAACATAAAGAGATAAGAGAACTGCGCAAAGGAGGAAATAAGAAAGATGTTACTACGTGCGGGCCATTAAGCTGGGAATTAAAAATTACAAAAGATGTCATTACGTTTGGACAACTAAAAGGTCAAATTTCTTGTCTATGGTAGCCCGTGCTGAAGCTTGATTAAATTCTGTCTTATAATTCTGTACGAAAGAGAGTGATTATTTTTTACAAACAAAGAAACTTATTCGAAATTATTTTACCTCTTGTAAATTGATTCGCAGAGGTTGTGAATGCATACAGGAAACTTCACTTTCCACACAAAGATGAATGTGTGTCTTTAGTTCCATTATGTGGAGTAATCGATATTACCATCGTCTTTTTTACCGTAGATTATGCATAAGACTGCATTGAATAAATATAAATGCCTCTTGACCTGTCCCTCTGTCTGCATTCTTAAAGAATTCCAGATATTTCTCGTTTATTTGCATAGTGACATCAAAAGAAATAATGGTTTCAATCATATTCTGAAGTCTGTTGCTGCCATCAATTCGTTGTCAACGGTTTAATGTTTGTTTTGAAAATTCTAAAATTTTTAACATCTGTCTGTGAAGTAATGCTCTAGGAATATGTAAAAAGTTAAACGAAATTTTGGTCGCTATATTGGGAAAAACGTATTAGTTCGGGCCTTTTTATGAGCGTAAAAATAACTTTCCGTCTATGGAATAGCAAATGAAACGTCATCTATGGTTCATTTAATAGAAAGGGTAAAGTGGTGGACCATAGCACTTGTAAACGTATACTGCATCAATTGTAATTGGTTCCTGCCTTTAGTGATTAATTAATGTGTCAGAATTAATTAACATGCTCACAGTAGTTTCTTCACTCCTAATTTATCTCGATGACTTAGCATTTATTATGTTAAAAAAACACTTCCGGCGCTACCACATGCATATCATACATTCTTCATTTTTTTATCTCTTCCTTCATATCTTTTCTTTCATATTTTTCTTAATGACAGGGAATACGGTAGAACTAAGATATCCAAAATAATTAGCACTTGACTTAATTCGGATAGACTGGATATTCGGATAATGGAAGTGACATCGATTTTTAATATATTTGCATCGACTTAAGCCACTGAGTTAAGCCACCTAATTGGTAGCCTTCCTCCTTTTTTTATTTCCTATGGTATTAGTAAAAGGGAACTTTTTTATTGTTGTGTTATCAGATTGGAATAGACGTCCAAGCCATCGAAGTCTATTGCAGTGAATTGAATATTTATGAATTGAATATTGCATTCAATTGAATATTTATAAATATTTATGAATCGAGCAATATTAGATTGTTTGTTAATTTCGTATATTTAAAAGTTAAACAAAAGAACTTGAGGTATTATTCTCATTTAATGTACTGGATTTTGACAGCAAGGTATAAAAATGTTTCCTTTTAAATCCATTAGCAATATTGCTTACATTAAAAACACGTCGGTATGAACTTCAGCATTCAGATAAAAGAGTTTCAGATATTAGAGGTTCTGTTGTATACAATTTTCAACATAATATCTCTCTTTTTCTCATTTTCTAATGAAAAAAAAATTATGACTTATCTTTTCCAAACACGAGGTGTTACATAAAAAACGGCTTTTATATATTTTTTTTAAATTCTTGTCAAAAATAAAATCAATCAACCTAGGGTAGCAAATTGATATTTGTATTAAAATTAATTAGATACTATCGAAATTCAGCAAATTACTGCTGTAGGAGATGAAACTGAAAGCATTAAAACCTGCTTGTTTGCTAGTAGAAATTTGAAGTATTTTTAAGATAAAATTAGTCTTAATCCCTTCTATTAGCTCCAATAATCCAACATTCCTTAATTTTTTCTGTTCCACCTTCCTCAGCAACGTTTTGCTGCATTCCAATAGCATTTAAATTTCTCATATACTATCAATTCATAAATATAATACATTTTTAATTCTTTATGTCTATTTCCGTTTAAATATGATGTGCATTTCTATTTTTTTATTTCAAATCATATATTTAATATGTTATGATCCACTCAGAAATTCTAGCACAGAATCTGAAACAGAAGATATTGTTTATGCCGTCCATGCTTCTGATGATAGAATATTCAGAGATGAGGCTAGAGAATCTGAAACAGAATGCGATAGGCTATGTAAGTAAACAAATATTTAAAAGTAATTTGAATGATAGTAAGAAGATCCACTCCTTTCTTAATTTTCTACCTCCAGAAATTTGTCTAAACCCTATTTCAAAACCCTATAAAAAAACATTCTCCTTAAATATTGCTCGCCTTACCGCAACTTTGAAACTCAGCATTCTAGAATAATTATAAGATGCAAAAAGTTCCGAATGAAATTACAGTGAAAAGCCTAATATACTATCATTTTTACACATATAATTACCGTAAAATCACTCAATCACTACAATTTAATAAATGTTAGTGAAAATCTACTGTATATTAGTTTACGGTAAAATAGGTTTTACATGTGAGACATCCAAAGTGCCGGTACTTAATAACACAATTAGTTCTGGAATTGTTTACATTGCAGTCTACAAACATTAATCACCACGGAATTTTTGGTGGGGATGATGGCCATTCGTGATAGTATAGGAAAATTCATCATGGATTTTACTTAGCCGTACAAAAATACATCCAAAATTATGGTTGTGGTAAGATGATCATCTCCAGGAAATAAATCTAAATCGTTTAGTGAAAATTTGTTTATTAAGCAGAATTGGTATGATAGATAACGGCCATTTTCAACATCCAGAAAAAAGGAAATCCCCTACAGGGATCAAATCAGAATACTCTCACATCAAGAGATCATGCAGCCAGAATATCATTTCTGACTGTTAGAAATTGAGAATGCGGAGGCCCGAAAGGGCACTCCCAGTCGCTACAAATTAGAAATTAAAAGTGAATACAATTATTCCTAACGGACACAGGAGAAACAAGGGTAGGAGATCCAAAGTTGGCGATTCATTAAAATATAACATAGCCAATACAAAGCCAACCCCGCATATCAATATTGGGTTTAAAAAAATACCTTGGCGATCACGAGTCGCGAACAAATTTATGAGAATTATTACAACCATGCAACTGAAACATATTTTCGGTTAGAAATTTAGAATTACAAAGCTATAAATAGATTTTTGTTTTCGATTAGGTGCGACAGTGAATTAATAAGTCTGCGTTAGTAATGAAATAAAAAGTATCCGTTACATTGATCTATACAAAAAAAAAGGAATACATATTTTAGGTTCGTTTTAAAAGCTTAAGTCTTTGATTTATTTTAAATATATAGCTCTATTAATGAAAAAGCTTAAGTAATTAAAGATATTTTAAAGGATAGGAAATTAATATGTAATGCCAATTGTGGCATCACGGAATTAATGTTTGTTCTTGAAAAAAAGTTGCAAACAAAGCTCACAAATGCAAATTTGTTGTCAACTATAGAAAGAATGGTAAAAAATAAAATAATAGAATTTAATAAAGTAATTTGTTGAATAAAGGAGAAAAAAACGTATAAACTTTATAAATTAAAAAGTAAAACCAAACAAGTTACTTATCCGAAAAAAATACCTCGACCTCCGTCTACATTCTATATTTGATGTTTTATTATTACTTTAGCTACTCTAACAACGTATAAAATATTTTACCAAATTGAATTAAGTGTTGCAGCACCATTTTCTCTCACGGTCTAGAAAAATAATGCTTCACATCACATTAGCGTCAAAATACTTAATGTATACAGTTTTGTAACATTCCGTAAATGAAGAGCTAAGTGGAAGATCGTGTTAAAGTATCATTTTAGTAAATTTGAGATGTTTAGTCTTATAATGAATAAGATCATCATCAGAATCAAATAATCAGGAATCTGAATATAAACTACTTTCAGGATCTACTCTGATGAGATGAAACTTTTTTTTCAATTTCTTTTAAAGTAATGAAGCGTGAACAATTTAGATGGTGCTAATCGTAACTAAACTTTTAATAAGCAAAACTAAATCCCCAATCAATTATAATGCTTAAAAGCAAAGTCAATCATAATGCTAACTAATCTAAACACTTTACGGCTTTTAGGAAAGATTTTTATTAAGTATAAAACCATTAGTTAGCTGCAATTGTTGCAAATTTAGTATAAATGCAGAAAAAAAAACTTTTACTAAACTCTTGTATACGTAGTAACGGAAAGAAATTCCTAAAATTATCTTTGAATTATTCGTCAAAAATGTTGCCAAGAAATAATTATGATTTTTTTCTTGTTTTCGTAAGCATAGAGAATTGTCAATAATGTTATATCTGTTCGGTTCAAATTCTTTGTGAAAGCAATTAGTCATTTTCACACTGCAATAAAAATGAAGTGATTATGAATTGATGACTGCAACAATCAAAGACAAAATTTTTACACTGTTTTTTCGCTGCTTTTTGCTCATGAAGCAGAAGAATTATTCTTTAAAACAGAATTATTTTCCGAAATTTTGCCTCAATGCAGTCTGACTTTTTTTGTAAGTACAATGAATTGGCAATAGTCATATCATTATGGATGTCATAACTGTAGAAATCTAATGCGAATTCTTTGGCATATCAACTATTTATTTTCACACGGCATTAAAAATGAAGTGATTATGATTCTTTGACTTTAGCAATTAAAGTCAAAATGTTTATACTCTTTCTTTTAAGTACAATAATTTTAAAATAATCATATAATTGCGGGGGTTTCAACTATAGAAATTTAATGTTACTTCGGAGGGAGAGTAAAAATTTATTTAAAAAAACTAATGCTCTGAAAAGAAGGTAAGATTCAAACGAAGACAAATTTTGCAAACTAATTTTTTTATTAATTTTTACTCCTGCATAAAAAATCCATGTTTTCGCGTTTAAATTTCTATAACATTCTGCAATTAATAAAACATCAGTTTAAAATAAATAAAGTAGTAAAATATTTAGATTTGGTTGATATACTCATAATTATTAATTTAAGAATTATTTAGCATTTCAAATATGAAATCATGTATACAAAAGCTATTTTTTTTTTCAAATTTATCTCAAGGAAATAATTATTTTTAAATAACTTTTGCAGATGCATCAATTGCATTTTTAAATATATTAAACATTTTCAATTTGTAAGTATATGACAATGGTTGTCTTGGTTGATAGTCGTATTTGATAGTCGTGACAATAATTTATGGAAATTTTTTTAGTGCCTTGTGCGCATGTGTAAAAACGTATTGATTTATTTTTTTAAAATTTGGTGGAAAAAAAAATATAAATGCAATAATGAAAAATGTATTTAACTCATTTATAAATTGAAAGTGTAAGAAAAAATGAAGCAAAGATTGCTTTTCAACATTAAGAATTTTTTCAATATCAGCTCTGAGTAATATAAAAATAGTGTATTATCACTATTTTTATTATACATATGTTACAGTTAAAGTGTGAAATCCGTTATTTCATAGAATAGCTAGGTATTCTACAAAATAACTAGTCAAATCAGTTAAAGTTTATTAAATTAAGTTATATATTATCACTATTTTTATTATACATATGTTACAGTTAAAGTGTGAAATCCGTTATTTCATAGAATAGCTAGGTATTCTACAAAATAACTAGTCAAATCAGTTAAAGTCTATAAAATTACAAGATTTAACTAGGTACTCAATAGAATAGCGATTTTCTGATCGTTAAATTATATAATGCAGCACTCGAAAGTATTTCGAAGCAATGTTAGCTGCTTTTAGTCAGCTTTGAATCGCTTATCGCTGCTTTGCAATGCCATGTGAGACTTTATTCCGTTGCTCTAAAACGTAGTTATCAATCTGAGCAATGATAAATAATATCATATGATTTACCTTATTATTTATCAATTAATCATCCACAATAAGTATAAAATGTATTTTTTGAAAGATAATAGCTATTCATGATCAATTAGATTGCAAAATAACTTTGAAATTGTTTATTTTTTACTGTTACGGACTATTTATCAATTAATCATCCACAGTAGGCATAAAATGTATTTTTCTAAAGATATTAGCTATTCATGATCAATTAGTTTGCAGAATAACTTTGAAATTGTTTATTTCTTACTGTTACGGACTATTTATCAATTAATCATCCACAGTAGGTATAAAATGTATTTTTCTAAAGATATTAACTATTCATGATCAATTAGTTTGCAAAATAACTTTGAAATTGTTTATTTTTTACTGTTACGGTCTATCATTAAGAATTTCATAGAATGTCTATGCAAAGTATAAAATTTTTCATCTGTTACATGCTTTGACATTTCTAGTTATTTCATGAAATATCTAGTTATTCGATGAAATAACTGAATTATGCTCTTCAACGGTAACATATACATAACAAATAACACTTCTTAAATTGCCAATAAATTGAATTTGCGGAATTGCGAATAAATTACGGTTCTAACACATTTAAAAGCAATTTTATAATTTGCGACTAAATCAATATTTTAACACCAACCACGCAATTGAACAAAATACAAATCCATCACAAAATATGTCAAAACAGATAGAAAGTTAATGAATTCATGAAAAAATCTTATAAAAAAACAATATAAAAAAAGTTAACCGAAAAACCTCCATTCTATGGAGTTTACCCAGCATCAATCATTTCATTTGAGTCTTTCAAATGAACTGTCACACGCTTAGAAAGCAATTTTTATAGATCACATTTTGGCAACAAGACTGTCTTTGACAAACCATCGTTTTTATTTCGTCTCTATTTGAAGCCACCCAACAAAAATAATACCAAACCAATTTTCTGTTGCATTTCGTCTGTATACACTTATTTTTCGTTTTTTTTTTATCTCTTTCGTTTGTATTTTTATTATTTTTGTGAATGAGTTTATAGAGAGAAGAAAATGATATATGATTCTTTCTTTGAATAAATCGAAATAAATGAATATTCCGATCTCCGTTCTTATAGTAATTTTTTTCCAGTTCAGATTCTTTTAGATATTGTATTTGATTAAGCTTTTTATGAAGCACTTGATAAAAAAACGTATTTCACCATAGTTTATCAATGCCTTGAAAGTTAACTGGTTAAAAAATAATATTATTTACTGTAACTCTTAGACGAGATTTTTTTTTTGGCAAATCTTTCTTATAATTGTCGGTGCGAAATTGATAAAAATCTAAATATTTCAAACTTTATTAAATATTTTGGTAATAAAACTATTTGTAGAAATCAGTACTGGCTAGTATAAAGGCACTAGAAAAAGAATTGTGTAAATATGTTAATGGTTTGTTATATTTTGTTTGATTAGTCCAATCATTTCGAAACAAACCTTATTTTAAAAGAAATTGAAGGCAATTGAAGAATTAAATTATTTTTCCATTAATATTTGGTAAAGTCATCCATTAAAAATGGAGCAGGTGTTTAAAAATTATTCATAAATAAATATTTTTGCTGTATATCAAAAAATGACCAACATATTGAATAAAAAAATTGAAGAAACATAGGAGGAAATAGAAATATATGCCTTGCAGCATTGTGCTTAAGAAACCAGAAATTTTTCTTATCTATTCTCAAAGTTAATTGTTTTTCAATTAATTAATCTTAAAGTTATTCGAATGGATCCTTCTTACTTGACGTTTAAGATCTTCAATTAAAAACGAATGGAAACTGGAGTTAGAGGTAGGCCTGAGATCAGATAGCTTGACTGTGTGGAAGAGGATTTCAAAACCCTAAGAATTACTAACTGTGGAGAACAATCGTAAAGAAAACAGCAGAACGGAGGAAAGTTGTAGGGAAGGCTCTGGCCCACAAAGGACTGTCATGCCAATTGAAGAATTTTTAAGTTAATCTACTGTAGAAAATTGAATTTTGAATGCGATTTCGAATTTTGTAAAGAATAATGCGTGCCAAAGAGAATGCATGAAAACTTTCATTTTTCTTAATCGATTTCTTAAAAATTTTTTAATTTTTGGTATACCCGGTACTTATTATAATGAGTTATTAGTACTTTAAATGCAACTAAAAGAATTTCAATTTTTGAACTTTAAATAGTACCTTTTGATTGACTTTCAGGGAAGGCGTATGAAAGTTGTCAATACGAAGAATCAAAGCGATGGACAGCAAATCATACTGTACTCAGTTAGTACGAAAAGATTATTATTGGATCAAATGTGAGAAAACCTATTTTTTTTTCTCTTAACAAGTAATTTTACCTTTTGGTATCAAAATTATTGAGCCTACTACCTACAAAATGTATATTTATTAACTAAATTTTTTCTTATTTCCTTTATTAATTTTAATATAAATTGACTCTTTTAACATTTCTTAAGAAACAAGGGATTTTTGATGAAACAAATTAAACGACCAAATCTTATTTTTTCAGGTACAGAAATCTGTGCCAAAACTATTCATAAAGTGATGAACTGAGGAATATATATATACATAAACTTATTGAATTTTGTTTGTATTTTCTCATAAATTTAATACTCATCAATTGCTGGAGAACCCTTGATAATTACAGAGAAGGAATAAAGAATGTGTTCTGCTGTGAACTGGATATGTTATTGTTTTTGATGGAGCTTATGTGATACGTTAATGAGCTTATTGGAATTAGAAAGGATCCAGATCTGCATAAAGTGTTTTAATCTAATAAATAATTTCTTGAACTACTATGCCTATGTTTTATTTCAATTAGAATGTCTAAGTTATATTTGGAGGGTACTTTCTAGTACTCTTTAGTAGGGGAGAGTGGGGGCGTCTGAGCT